TTCAGAATATCGTAAGGGGCAAGTTCCCCCTGACGCACATAGGTAGTGGGAGAACTTTTCTCCCTAATGAGGGGTTCGTTCTGAAGAGAGTATTTGGATCAAAGCAGCTGCCTCCTTCTGGTTGATGTTTTGCTCTTCCCCCAGTTTCCCTGGTGGGAGTGGATGCACCTCTTCCTCTGTAGTTGATTGGAGTGTTCCTCCATGTGTTAGTTGTTGAAAAGTGTATTGTTCCCCTGCATGTGTTTGGCAAAACATTATAGAAGTCTTTTCTTAATTGCTGAAGTCGCTTTTGTGCAGGAAAAGATAGTTAACCTTTCCCCCCTAAAAGTTAACTCTGTTCCCTGTAAGATTATACTTATCAATGAATGCTTTGTGGTTTACTCTGCAAGAACATCTGTACTGCTATATTTATCCCCTGCTAAAAAAGATATAAAAATGCTGTTTAAACCAGTAAAGACAGACTTGCTTTATACTTCCTTATCTCTCTGAGAATATTTGTAGAGCTATTTCTGTACTAATCCTGAAAAATATAAAAACGACACATGCGCAGTAAAGACAGACTTGATTGCACTGACCCAAGTCTCACGTCCCCTTCTTCACTGCGCCGACTCCGTCTCTCCCTCAGGAACCTGGACTCTGCTGGAGCTGGACTCCGGCAGTTTGGATTCCATTTAGTCATCTTATTGTGTTTTCCATTTGTCTCTTTTTCCTTTCTTTGAATTGAAGTTGTAATTTAAACTTACTGCAAATTTACAGTAATCAAAAGAGTGTGTTACTGGCTTGATGACAGACACACAGATTAAAGGAATAGAATTGAGGGTCCAGAAATAAGCCATCACATATATTCTCAATTGATTTCTGAGAAGGGTGCGGGGAGAATTCAATGGGGAAAAGAAAATAATCTTTTAATCAAATAGTACTGGGACAACTGGTTATCCACCTGCAAAAGAATATCGTTAGGCCCTTACCTTACACCATTTACAAAAACTAATTCAAAATGGATCAAAGAAATAAATGTAAGACCAAAAACTATAAAATTGCTAAATGAAAAACAGGTGAAAATCTTCAAAACATTGCATTTGGCAATGACTTTTTAGATGTGATACCTGAAGCATCTTGCAACCAGAGAAAAAAATAGATAAATTGGCCTTCATCAAAATTAAGAACTTTTCAGGGCCGGCCCAATGGCACAGCGGTTAAGTTTGCACATTCTGCTTTGGTGGCCCGGAGTTTGCCGGTTTGGATCCCAGGTGTGGCCCTTTGCACTGCCTGTCAAGCCATGCTCTGGCAGGCGTCCCACTTATAAAGTAGAGGAAGATGGGCAGGGATGTTAGCTCAGGGCCAGTCTTCCTCAGCAAAAAGGAGGAGGATTGCCAGCAGATATTAGCTCAGGGCTAATCTTCCTCAAAGAAAAAAGAAATTAAGATCTTTTGTACTTCAAAGAAGACTCATCAACATTAAATAATTTTGTCATACAAAGGACACACTCGAGAAAGCGGAGACAATCATGGAATAGAAAAAAGATTTGCAATTCACATATGTTACCATATACATGATAAGGATTATGTACAAAATATATAAAGAACTCTTACAACTCAAAAATAAGAAGACAAATAACCTAATTTTAAAATGAACAAAGGACTTGAAAACATTTCTCCATGGAAAACATAGAAATGGTCACAACCACATGAAAAGATGCTTAACATTACTAATCATTAGGGAAGTGCAAATCATATTCACAATGAGATAGTTCATATCACTGGATGGTTAAAATATACAAGACAGACAATAACAAGTGTTAGCAAGGACGTGGAGAAACTGGAACCCTCATACATTGATGGTGGGATTGTGAGTGATGCAGCCACTTTGGAAAACAGTGTGGTAGTTCTTCTAAATGGTAAACATATAGTCGCTATATGCCCCAGCAATTCTACTCCTAGGTATATACGTGTGATAGTTAATTTTATGTGTCAACTTGACTGCATGACTGAAAGTCTAGACATCTGGGAATATGTTATTTATGGGTGCAACTATGAGGCTATTTTAGAAAGGGATCAGGATGTAAATCAGTAGACCGTGTAAAGCAGATTGCCCTCGCCAATGTGGGTAGACATTATCCAATCCACTTTAGGGCCTGAATAGAACAAAAAGGTGGAGGAAAGTTGAATTCTCTTTGTTTGCCGCACTGTTGAGCACGGATAATGTTCCCCTGCTTTTGGTGCTCCTGGTTCTCAGGCCTTGAGACACGGACTGGAAGCTGTGCTGTTGGCTGTCTGGCTTTCAGGCCTTTGAAATGCATCACTGGGTTTCCTGGCCTCTAGCTTTTTTGGGTCACCTTTTGTGATTTATTATTGCATGCTTATCACCAAAATAAAATCTTTTACTCAAAAAACTTTCATATGAATTGATTTTGTATTAGTTTTCCCACTTTCCTCTTTAGGACATTCAAATCAACTAAACAAAGGTGGCACTCCATCTTCTCTTGCTGTTTTGTTCTCTAATAAACCTCCATGTGGTGGAGGCAAGGCATTGTATGAACTGAGTAAATAAAGCTGAGTTGATGAAGTTTAGTTGATTTCTTTAATCCTTAAAGCCTGTATGACAGCAGGTGGAAACTTTGAGCAATGAGCTGTAGATGAGACAGTCAGTGGGTGAGTTTTGTCTCGCATTCTGTCTGCAAATGCAAACAGATCATGGGACTTTTCAGGCTCCATGGTCATGAGTCAGTTCCTTATAGTAAATTTCATTAGACATATATTTTGAAATAAATTTCATTATATTTTGTTTGTTTGTTTGTTTAAAGATTTTAATTTTCCTTTTTCTCCCCAAAGCCCCCTGGTACATAGCTGTATATTTTTTTTAGTTGTGAGTCCTTCTAGTTGTGGCATGTGGGACGCTGCCTCAGCATGGCTCAACGAGCGGTGCCATGTCCGCACCCAGGGTCTGAACCAGCAAAACCCCGGGCCACCAGAGCAGAGCGTGTGAACTTAACCACTTGGCCACAGGGCCGGCCCCTCATTATATTATTTTTATATGTATAAATGATCTATCTGATCTTACAATATGGTCCAGGGACATATGTTCTCTTTCTCTGGAGAACCCTGACTGATACAAAAACCAAGACAAGTGAAAAGATGTCTTCAGAAGAAGATACACACAAATTTTCATAGCAGCATTATTCATAGCATCCACAATGTGGAAACAATGCTAATGTCTATCAGCTGATCAAGAGATAAAATGCATTATATCCATACAATGGAATATCATTCAGCAATAAAAAGGAATAATATATGCTACAATACATATGAACCTTGAAAAGCATAGTAAGTGAAAAGAAACTATTGACAAAAGTTTGTATGATTTCATTTACAAGAAATATCTAGAAAATGCAAATCTATAGAAACAGAAAGTAGACTCATGGCAGCTTAGATATTAAGGGAGTAAGAAAATGGGGGTATGACAGCCAAAGGGTGCTTTGGAGGTAATGAAAAGGTTCTAAAATTGTGATGGTTGCATAACTTTTTGAACATACTAAAAAACATGGAATGGTATTGTTCTGAACAGGGAAATTGTATGGCATGTGAATTCGTTTTCAATATAGCTGTTCCAAAACATGAACCAAAGAGAAAATCATGAGAGTAGTGACATCCTTAGCTGCATAAAAAATTTAATGTCTCCGAAGCACCTAGAGCCCTTAAGATGCAACACACATTACCTACCATTATATTTTTACCCCTAAATATTAAAAGTTAATATAAAACTATTGTAATCAAAAGAGCGTTTTATGGGCATAAATAAATATTACTGGCAGAGAAGAGTCGAGAAACTTATACAGGTATATATAGGAATTTATTGTTTAATTAAGATGGAACTTCAAATCACTCAGTCAGGATAGTTTATCAATAAATGATACCACAACAACTGACCGTCTTACTGGAGGAAAATTAATTGCATCCAGTACCACACTCCACATACCAATATACTGTGTGAGGATTAAGGATTAAAATGTGATTAAAAACATTTTTAGAAGAAAATTAAGAAATCTGTCTCTAATCTAGAGTTCAAAGAGAATTTTTAAGGCAAGGCAGAAAACCCAGAAATTATTTTTTAAAAAAGACTTTCCTGGCTATCTAATTGTTAAACACTATTGTAAGCAACAGCTGTTTTTGTAGCAAAATAGCTATTAATTCATCAGATGCACAAAACATTTAATAATGCACATGAACAATTCGTAGTAAAGTGTGCTAGTAAATCAGGATTTAACAGACGTTTATTAACTCTACAAAGGCCACCCACTGAAACTCACAGCAAACCTGATTACTAGAGACTCTTTAGAATCATTCCTGAGTTAAGAACGCCTGGTATCAGCGCTGTTTCACAATTTAGTATGGGAAGCCCTGGACCGTAGAAGATTGGTAAATTAAAAAGAAATACATATTTGAAGAAAAAAAACGAAAGTACAGAAAAAGGCTGTTACATTGAAAATGCAAAGGAATCAATGATCGGTGTTTAGCATGTCCAACGTAACTAAAAGCAAATAAGGTGCAATTAAGGTTAAATATGGGATTGATCGATTGGGGGAGACAGACCATTTCATGGACTGGGAGGCATATTACAGAAGAATCATGGTAAGGGCTCTAGGCAAGTGAGGACAGGCAGGCAAAAAAGCTTTTGATGAGCACCAGGCAGCCAGAGTCCCCAGTCCCAGCCTCGCCCTTCGTACGTCTAAACCCCACGCTGGGCCTCGCTCTACGTCCCCGAACCCCGCCTCCGGGTAGAGGCCCCGCCCCAGGCCGTAGCCCAGCCCACAGGCCGGCCTCCATCCTCCACCTGAGCCGCGGGGCCTGTTGCCGCCCCCCAGCCCCGCGCCAAGCGACCCCAGGGCCCATCAGCGCCCACGCGGGCAGAACTACGAGTTCTCTGCCGGAAGTGGACGGACGTGATTGGCAGCCCGAGCCCTGGAGCCCCGCCCTTTACTGCCTGAGGCAGGAAGCGGAAGTTGCGTCACTAGTTCGCGTCGTCATTTTTGTCCCGGCCTCAGCGTCTGGTGGAGTTGTTATATCGGTCACTGTGCGGTGGCCACCTCTTCGGTGCGGCCCGTGAAGGGAGGGCCCTGGGCGCACGGAGGGCGTTAAAGGACAGGTGCGGCCCGGGACCCGAGGGGCTCCGTAGAGAGGCCGGGCCTTCGCTCGTCCGCCCGGCCGCTGGGCCCCGCGCTGAGCCGGGGCGGGAAGGGCGCCGTGCGGGGCGTTGGCGTCCCCTGCGCTTCCCTGGTCAGAGCCTCCGCGTCACCTTCGAGACTTTTCCCCAGAAGGAGAAGCAGCTCCGCTGTGCGAGTCCCGTTGCTCGGGCCCCGCGCCCTCCGGTTCTCAGGACCTGCGACCCCGCCGTGTGCCTGTGAGTCCGGGGGAAAGTGGTTCGGGGGCCTCTGCTGCTTTTCCTGGGCGACAGAATGTCACCGGAGAATTTGGCCTTTGCGCGTTATTTCTGAACATTACATAAAGGTGACGCCACTTCGCTTGTTAATAACATGTCTGAGAACTATGGAGAAACATATGGAACAAATTTTAATTTTAACTGCACACACTTGTTTTCAGAAAGAATATCCTGTCTACTGTTTTTCTGAGTAAAAATACAGAAATATGTTTTCAAAAGTACTGTTTCGGTTTCTGTTATATTGTGTGCAGACATTTTATGTGTCTTAATTTGACTTTTACGTTGTAATTCTATTTTCTGTTCTTTTTATTTGTGCATACTGTACTGTAACATTTCTATGGGGAATGGCAGTTGTTGGAGATTCCACAAATGGTGACTGAAATCGTTTAATGAGCTAGGAACTGTGCCAGGGACAGAGAAGAAAGGCGCTCAAAGCATAGTACTGCCATCATGGGGCTTCCAGTCTCATTTAGGAATACAGATTTTCTTTCTTTTTTTCTTTCTTTTTGTTTTTGAGGAAGATTAGCCCTGAGGTAACGTCTGCTGCCAGTCCTCCTCTTTTTGCTGAGGAAGACTGGCCCTGAGCTAACATCCGTGCCCATCTTCCTCCACTTTATACGTGGGACGCCTGCCACAGCATGGCTTGCCACGTGGTGCTGTGTTCACACCCGGGATCTGAACTGGTGAACCCCGGGCCACCGAAGCGGAATGTGTGCAGTTAACTGCTGTGCCACCGGGCTGGCCCTGGAATACAGACTTTCAGTGAATGCTGGCAAGTTTGTGGTATGGACATCAGAAGGCTTAATATGAGGCGGCAATACATATTGGGAGGGATCAGTATTTAAGTTGTAAACCAACACCTGAGTAGGATTGACCTGGTCAGGTCCTTGAGCTGTTGTGAGATTTGTAGAGTGGGTGAGGAAATTTCAGGTCAAGGGAACTTGATGAGCAAAATCCAGCATAGTTGAGACCTTGGTGTATTTCTTAAACTGAGGAGAGAGGGTTCGCAGAAGTGGAACAGACAGAGTGGTGGGAGATAGAGTGGAGAGCAGAGACAGGGGAGTGAGATGCTCTGGACAATATTCTAAGGCCGTGGAATCTTCTGAGATGTTTTAGCAGGAGAGTGATTTGAATCCGTTACAGCTTAAATAGAACCCACTAACTCCTGCCTTGGGAATGAACTTCAGGAAAGATGAGCATAGGCGTGGAGTCAAGAAAATCTTATGATGAATGAATTTTAAAATGCTATTATGGAACCTAGATGTGGATGATTGTTATGGGAAAGAAAATGAATGAAGTGATTTGAGAGTTTTATAGAAGGTGAAATTGAAAGAATCCAGGCATTTCCTTCATTTATTATTTACTAAAGGATATACCTCCGCTTAATGAATATTTGAGTGCTTGGTTAGTACTTAGTGAAAAAATTTAACCCAGAAGTGTTCTTAGGAAACTTGTAAACTGTTCGTGGAGGCAAACATCTCTGCAAGAAAGTAAATGAATTATTACAAATTTATTAGGGCTCTTGAGCTAAAGTAGAGGACAGTATTATTTTCTTTATCTTTATATGGAAGTGGGTGAACGTAAGAAGTAGAGTTGATGAATATTTAAGTTGTAAAAAGACGAGGCATAGGAGTTAGCCATGTGGGAAGGGACGCTAGTAGGAGATGGGAAAGCGTTCTGTATTTGGTTGGTCTCATTTTTAGGGTGAGAAAGGGGAGAGCATCAAGGGTTACGCCCGGATTTGACAGTAGAGACCTTTTATTTGGTTGGGAAAAGTGCTGAGGGAGGAAACTAATCTTCACTATATACCTGATGGGAAAAATATGTGATATCTGTTCAAGTGGTATGAATCAAAAGAAAATAGAAGAAAGTGTGGATGTGTTTTAATTTTATGAGTAGTAGAATCATTCAAGGAGCTAATCAGAATCAGTAATTCACTTGTTATTATCAATGTTAGCATTATTTATGTTAATAAACATAGAGTGGTCTTGTAGTCCACCTGGAGGTTCTGTCTCCTGCCCAGATCAGGCCTTTGATTCCCTGACTGAACATCCAGAGTAACCCCTCCTGTTTGACTTTTTATAGACACACATCTAGGGGACTAGAATCACTCCACAGGTAAAGGACTAGAAGACTCCGCTGATAATGCAGGGTGCCAGAATGCACTGAAGGCTCGATAGTATCTATGTTACCCACTCTGTTTGTCATATGGTGTCTCAATGAGTTAGCTGTGCCATAGTGAAACAGTTGATAAGGGTTCTGAAGATAAAATTTGTGTGGATGTGCTGATACTGTGATTCTGTGAATGTCTTTCCTATCGGCGAGGAGCTCGGCTCATTGCTCAGGTCCAAAGACCTGACTAAATCTGTCCCCGAATCTCCTCTTTACTCATTTGTCTCCAGGGATCACTGTTCTTCTCAATTGTGTATGGGTCTGTGTGAAATCAGGAGACAGAAATCACACTTTGATTTAAATAACAGAAGTTTCATATAAAGATGTAAGGTGGATTTTTAAGAGATGTCCTAGAGTTGATGGAGAGTCCCTAAGGAAAGCCAAACTTGGGGTGGGGGCTGGCCCCCCTAAGACTAGACTTCAGACCTTGATGGAGAAGGTATTGGATGGCAGCCCATTGGATGGTGAAGTTGTTTTCTAGGTTGCCAGGACCAGAGGTAGTCAGCAGTCACTGGGAAGACAGTAAGCAACCCTGTGGGTGCAGACAAGTCATGAATGGTGGGTAAAAGGATTGAGGGAGTCCAGTGCCACTATCAGTGCAAGACATAGTGCGCTAAGGATCCAGATAAGGAGGCCGTGGGAAACAACCGACTGGTGTGCAGAGAAGCCGAGGCTGGTGGATGAGTGCTCGGAAGAAGACAGTGTCCCTCTCACCCTTGTGTTCTTAAGCTAATTAAATATATTTCTGAAAACTAATACATATTGTGTTATGAACATTATTTAGCTATAATCCAGGTATACATGAAGAGTGGTGTGAAGGATCCCAGTTGCCTGTTGATCACCAATCCCTGGGTGCCTTCAGTGAGCCAGGCTCTTTGCCACTCTGTACTGGCAAACATTGGCATCCAAAACTGACATAGTGCTACCCATGAGATGCAGAAAAACTCTCCAAACCAAGCCAACCCTGATGTCAGACAACATTTTCAAAAAAGCAGTAGTACAGGTACAGAGGTCATTATGATAAAATGTTCTGTTTCTCCAAAAATAGAAAAATTTAAATATGTATCCACTCAATTATATTGTTTCAAATATATAAAGCTTTGCTTGACAGAATTAAAGAAATAGACAAGTCCCCAATTCTAGTGGGAGATTTTAATAAATTTTGCCCATATTGTTAAACAGTAGAGGAAAAATCAATTAGGATATACTTTGGAAATGCTATGTGAACTGCCTTATGTACATTTACAGAATAGTGTGTCTAGTAACTGATGGAACTCAGAAATTGCTCTTCTTGGAGCAAGGGGGAAGGAACACACTGGAAGGAGCAAGAAGCCTTTGTAGGGAGATAACTATGTTGTGTATCTTGTTTAGGCTGGGGATTACATGAGCATAGGAGATGGTCATAACTCATCCACTAAATGCTTAAGATGTGCGTATTTAATTGTACGTTAATTATATCTCAGTTACAAAATAGAAAGGAGAGTAAAACATTTTATTCAGGCACCACATGACTAAACACTTTGGTGGGCCTGTTTAGCCCAAAGATCCCCATTTGAGACCCCTGGTCGAAGGACAGTTATATGAATCTGCGCACACAGTTTTTGTGACCGTATGTGTTTCTGGGTTTTTGTCTTCTGAACCGCAGAATAAGGATTGTCGGGTTGTGAGGGTGATACGGTTCATAGATAATGAAGTGTGGAATTGTCAGTGGTGGTTGTCATTTGAATACCGTTTTGTAGATCAGCATTTGGCCTGTTGGTCTGTGTTTGATTGATTACAGGTTATTGGTTTTTTGGGTTTTTTTAAATTAAGGTGATATTGATTTGTAACATATAAATTTCAGGTGTACATCATTATGTTTTGCTTTTGTATAGACTACATCATGTTCACCACCAAAAATCTAGTTGCTTGGGTCAGGCCCCGTGGCCAAGTGGTTAAATTAGCATGCTCTCCTTCAGCGCCCAGAGTTTCACCAGTTCGGATCCTGAACACAGACATGGCACTGCTCATCAAGCCATGCTGAGGTGGCGTCCCACATGCCACAACTAGAAGGACCCACAACTAAAAATATACACCTATGTACCAGGGGGCTTTAGGGAGAAAAAGGAAAAATAAAGTATTTAAAAAAAAAAATCTAGTTGCCATCTGAAGGAGACCTGGCATGAAATGTGGTTGTGCTTGCACGCGAGGCATCCACAAAGCTGGCTGGACTTTTCTGCAAACAGAATGTTCTGTCTGGTGAACTCACAAGGCCCCAGGGAAAACGTTGCTTGCAAACAAGGGTGTTTTATCAGTTCCTCAAAAGGAACAAGCCTGGGGCCTTGGGAGTCTGAAACATTATGAAGGAACCTGTTATAAACAGATGTGTAGGGGAAAGGTCATTATTGTGAGACGCTGGCGCAGGCTTAGGTCGCTGACTCACTGCTTTGGCAAAAGGCCGGCTTTGTTTAGAGGCTATAAGAATAAAGAGCTCGAGAAACTCGAGAGACTACACAGCAACCGGTGTTCGTGTTTTCATTTCGTCGGCAGCAGCCATCTGTCACTGACTCCTTTCACCCTCCCCCTACCTGATTCACCCCTGGTAACCACCAGTCTGTTCTCTATATGTATGTGTTTGTGTGTTTATCTTCCACATAGAATGGAAGTCATGTTAATTGTCTTTCTCTGTCTGACTTATTTCACTTACTGTAATACCCTCAGGGTCTATCCACCTTGTTGCAAATAGTGAGATTTCATTTTATTTGTGGCTGAGTAGTATTCCATTTTATATAGATGCACCCACATCTTCT